CATTAACTGGACAAAAATGGTTACTATCATGTTTCCTTTTCTTACACAAGCATTCGGTCATTGAAATAATATAAAACTACTACATAATATATTGATGATATAAATTTTCAAATGCTTAAATAAAAGAGATTAAATAAATGCTAACCTTCAATTTAAGTCAATCCTTTACCACAAATTTCTTTAGCTTTTGTAGCAAAACAAAATAAATGCCTAACACAATAAACTCCAATCCTAGATCCCAACTTAAATTCCAATCAAAGGTGCTGTACTATTACTGCTAACTCGTAAAATACTGCCATATATAATTTTGTTATATTGTGAGGGAACTACATTCCCTCTTTAGATATATAGTGCCTCGACAGTGTATGTGTAGGTGTATTTGCTACAAATTTTACAAAGTTGTTAGAATTTACATGAGTTGTGCAGCCTCGGTTTGTGCACCGTCAACCAAAATAATGCCTAGCTCTTGTAGTAGAGTACTCACAAGCCATTATTTAGGCATCTTCATCAAGATTCTTCAAGATTCTTGTAACTTGACATTCCTTCTTTAAAATATAGCTGCCTGTAATTCTACATTAGGCTCGATGCCTTAGCCTTAAGCTAGCTCCCAACCTTCAAGTGCACCTCCCCTATCCTACTATTCAGTTTTACAACTCTCCATGGAATCAACACACAAAGTCACAACCACTCAATCAAGACAAATTCAGTGAAGAGGAAACATCTTACTAGTTGCTTATTCTTCATAATTAGAATCAATACTAGGAACTTTGTCCCTACTAAGTTGAGAAAAGTATCTTTCAAGCTAGTCAAGCAATTAATCACATGACATGCAACTGATATTAGATTTCGTGAGATGTAAAGATTTCATTAGAGTAGCAAAAAGGCCCTTTAATAATTTCAAAGGTGTGCTCAACTTAAACAATATTTAAGTTATATTACCATGTTACTTGATTAATATAACATAGCACTAATTGATATGTTATTAAAAAGAAATTTGGGAATATAAACAACATTTTTAAGGATTAAATGAGGTGTGAGTCTTACAGTGCCTGCCTATGGCTGATATGCTATTGTGTAACCATTAGAAAAAAGTTGTATGTTTATAGCATAAAAAAGATCAGTAGAAAGAAAAATTAGTTTGTGCGCGCGTGTTGTGAGATGAAGCTTCTAAATCTTTAAGCCAAGTGGAATGTGAGTGAGACAACGGTTTAATTAGAAATGATAGGCAATACCATTTGATTTTTTGAGATGCAGGTGTAACAATATTTGCCTTTGTCATTTGAGACAATTGTGTCTGTACCATATTAAAAATATCATTCGTACGATAATGATAATTCATTGCATTAGTAATTAAGATATAGGTAGATTTAATGGGGAAAAAAACACCATATTAGTAATTAACTTATAGGAAGATTTAATAATAAAAAAAACTATTATTAAATAAGTTCTAGAAAATAAAATAATGGATACTTAAATAAGAAGTGATTAATTCTAACTACAAGATTTAGGGTTTAGAAACAAACAAAAATACATACCCCTACCAAGAATAAGATGAAGAGAAAAACTATCAAAGTTTTTAACATTCAAAATCTAATTATCAATTAGAATTTAACATATAATTTATCTCCTTTTTTTTAATCAATTTAAGCCCTCCAATAAAAAAAGCGTAGTTAAGACTAAGAGCATATTTGTTTGAATTTTTAAAAAGAGTTACCCTAAGTCTCTCAAAATCTAAAAAGTGATATAAGGCATTAATCCATCAAAAAATGTGTTAGTAATTACCAAAAAATCTCTCTCATCTATAATTATTAATGGAGTCTCTCTCGTTGATAGTATACTTTGATAACTCATGAATATCATGTATTTTTAATTTTTAGAAAGAGAAAACTCTTTTTAAAAATACGAACAAATATAACATAAGTCTTTCAAAATCTAAAAAGTTATATAAGGTATTATTCTATAAAAAATATATTAGTAATTACCAACAAATCTCTCTCATCTATAGTTATTAATAGAGTCTCTCTCGTTAATAGTATCCGTTGATAATTTATGAATATCTAGTAGTAATTTTTTTACTTTTTATTTCTTATCAAAATGTGTTAGAAATCCTAGCTATTCTTAGCATGATATTGGAGAATCTTATTGCTATTACCTAAACAAGCATCCGTATGCTTGTGTATTCGTCTACTGGGCAAATAAAAAAAATAAACCTATCATCTCATTATAGTTCATTTTTTCTTTAGCTATATTATCTATCTCATCATTTGATTTTTATTTTTCTACTGATCCTAATTAAAACTTAAATATTTTTACTATTTATGAAACAATGTCAAAAATTTAACCAAAAATTAATAAAATATTACTTAAAATCTATATCTCAACAAAAAAAAATATTTTGACTTTAATATTAATTTAAAAGAAAATAATAAAAATTTATAATAATTTAGTAAATAAGCATCTTAAACAAATCTAAAAGAATTACAACTAAAATATATAATAATTATTTTAATATATTATTTTAATTAATTTTATATTTTTCTTTAAATTTAAATATTTATTGGATTTCTTGATCTTCCTCTGTAAGATCCTTATTAAAGAAATAATTATATTATAAATAATAACCATTTATTCACTCCTCTAGTTTGGATAATGTACAATTTTAATCTCCAACATTTCTTTAAGTGAATTAAGTCTCTAATTTTAAAGTTAAGCAAATTTAGTCTTTTCATAGATTTTTCCTATTTTAATCTTTTATTTATTATTTCTATCGAAATATTTTAGGATTTATGACAAAATTTAGATATGAAATAACTTTAAAAGTTTATAATCAAGAAATTTAGTAGAAACTTAATATAACTTAAAGGATAAGACATGAAAGGCTAGTATTTACCTATTTTAATCTTGCTATTTGAGAGGAGGCAGAGTAAATGCGTAGATAACTATTTAGAGGATTCATAAGTATCATTATAAAAGGCTAATTTTTATTTAAAAGGCTTGATGACCATGTCTTTATCCATTTAGTGTTTGTTTAGCCTAGCGTTTATTTACCCAAACTTGATTGTAAATATGAAAATCAATGACTAAAATTTAATCTCTATAAAAACTTAAAGTATGTTGAACTAAATTAATAAACTCTTATCCTTTAGCATGGATGTAACTTTTATCCCCAAATTCAAACAAATAAAAGGACTTAATTATTGATTTGAATGATGTGAGTTAGTGAATTGATACAAGTATTTCGTTTAGGGGCAGGATCTTCTTATTGTTAAGGTAAATTATATTCTTGTCCTTTTTGCTTGACTTATGGACCTTGATATTGATAAGGTAAACTAAGTTAATACAAATAAATATTCTCTTATTGGTATTGACGAGACTTTTTCTACCAAGTAAAAAGAGAGAAGAATGAAAAGAACAACAGAAAAAAAAATTTACAAGTTAATATCTTTATATAAAATTAATTTTTTTTAATTTTTTATCTGATTTAATCTAAATTTGACTCGAATCGTATACTTGAATGTGATGGATGAATTTATCATAGACTATTTTTTATATACATAAAGACTCGAATATAAGATTTTGCTTAAGTGATACCGAAGTGCTTGCTGCTCAGACCAACTTTTGTTAATTTTAATTTTTCAACTATAACAATATAGTATTTAAATTGTTTATATCAAATTTTATTAAAATTAAATAAATATAAAAATGCAATAATATTTTTAAAATATTTTTACATAAGTCATAAATTATTTTTATTAATTATTTAAAGGTGCTTTTAAGTTGCGAAATATCTTAAGCTAATAGATAAGTTGTTAAAAAATCTTCTGCAATTTAACTTTTTTTTTCTTATTATTATAGTAATATTACAATTATATAGTATATATTTATAATTAGAGAGAAAGAAAGCGTGTGAGTTATTTAGAAAGAGTGAGTCAAATTTTTGAATTAATTTTACAATTATAAATCAAAGATAAAACTGAGGCAATTATTAAAAAAAAAAAAATGTTCCAATCATTCCAGAGTTTTGGACCAAACTGAATGGCTTGCATTGAACGGCAAACAACGCCGATAAGGTGTGAGAAGACGTCATCCCGAGTGCAGATAAGTAATAAAACATATTTCTAGCATACTCTTTTTAATATATTTCCAAAATTTATTAAAAATAAATATTATATATGTCTTATTCTTAAATTAATATATTTTTATACTTTTTAAATTTTTTAATAAATTTTAACCAAAAATAAAATATTATTAAAAAATATATTACTAATTTAAGCACCTGTTAACCACGATATTTTGTAAGACCTGTCTCTCTCACCTCAACTTTAAAAGGAAAAAAAAACGAAAGTGAAATACCAATTTCGCACGCGATGACGTCAAGTTGAATCAATAATTTATTTTTTACCATATTTTAAAAAATCATTTGGTTTATAACTATTTTTAAAAATAACAAGATATCATCTAATTTAATATATTAACAACATTAAATATTATAAATTTTAAAAAACTTACTGTTTTAATAAACATTAAAATATTAATATAAATTATATTAATAATTATATTATTAATAATTTTATATGAAATATAAAAATATATTCAAAAGTTTTATTTTTATATATTTTAAAAATACATGTATTAAATTGACATACATAAATAAAATATTAAATAATTTAAAATAATCTATAATTTATATGATAAAAAATCTAATTCAACAACTAATTTTAAAACAACTTTTAATAAAAATTTAATAATTATCATATAACTGATATAAGTAGATCCAGATTTCCTGCAGTTTGTGCGAAAACTGTACCGTGTATTTGGATAAAATTTTGTAAATAAAAATATAAAAACTTAAGAAAAATACAAAATTATGTAACTGTACGGTACCTGAATTCAGATTTCGTGTAAGCACAATTTATTCTCAGTTAATTTTTTTTCTTAAAATTTAATTTCTTAGAAAAATCTGTTTTCTATATATTTTTCCTGGGCGCTCTAATCTAACCACTTCACTACGATTTTTTGTGACTGGGATACTAGTCTGCAACACTCTCTGGCTCTGTCTATCTGTTTGGCACTCCAAACATGGAAGCGTGGTTCATCATCTTAATCTCTCTGTGCATCTGCGTCCTCGTAAGAGCCATCGTCTCTGTCCTTCACAATCCATCCACAATCACAACCCCACCAGGCCCTTCTCACATCCCAATTATCACAGCCATCACATGGCTCCGAAAATCATTCTCCGAACTCGAACCAATCCTCCGAACCCTCCACGCCAAATATGGCCCTATCGTCACTCTTCGCATTGGCTCTCGCCCCTCCATCTTCATAGCCGACCGTTTCCTCGCCCATCGCGCCCTCATCCAAAACGGTTCTCTCTTCTCCGACCGCCCCAAATCCCTCGCCACCGGCAGAATCGTCAGCAGCAATCAACATAACATCAGCTCCGCCTCATACGGCGCCACGTGGCGTACTCTCCGCCGTAACCTCACCTCCGAGATTCTCCACCAGGCGCGCGTCAAGTCCTTCTCCCAAATCCGCACCTCCGTCCTCCACTCCCTCCTCACGGGGCTAAAATCCGATTCAACATCCAACCACTCCGTTAGAGTCATCCACCACTTCCAATACGCCATGTTCTGTTTGCTCGTCTTCATGTGCTTCGGCGATAGAGTTAACGACGAGAAAATCAGAGACATAGAGCGCGTGCAGCGCCAACTGCTTCTCGGTTTTAACAGATTCAATATTCTCAACTTCTGGCCAAAAATCACTGGTGTTCTGTTCCGCAATCGTTGGGAAGAGCTTTTAAGGTTTAGGAAGGAGCAAGAAGATGTGCTTGTTCCGCTTATAAGAGCGAGGAAGCAAGCGAAGGAAGAAGGTAGAGTAAACGATGATTCTATTGTGTCGTATGTTGATACGTTGTTGGAATTGGAGTTACCTGAGGAGAAAGGGAAACGGAAGCTGACTGAGGAGGAAATTGTGACGTTGTGTTCGGAATTTTTGAACGCGGGTACGGATACGACTTCGACGGCGTTACAGTGGATAATGGCGAATTTGGTGAAGTACCCGCACGTGCAAGAGAGGGTGGTGGAGGAGATAAGGGAAGCGGTGGGTGAGAGAGCGGAGAGGGAAGTGAGAGAGGAAGAGTTGCAGAAATTGGGGTATCTGAAGGCTGTGATTTTGGAAGGGTTGAGGCGTCACCCACCGGGGCACTTTGTGTTGCCGCATGCGGTAACTGAGGACGTCGTTTTGAATGATTACTTGGTGCCTAAGAATGGGACCGTGAATTTCATGGTGGCGGAGATGGGGTGGGACCCCAAGGTGTGGGAGGATCCGATGTCGTTTAAGCCTGAGAGGTTCTTGAATGATGAAGGGTTTGATATTACAGGGACCAAGGAGATTAAGATGATGCCGTTTGGTGCTGGGAGGAGGATCTGTCCTGGGTATAACTTGGCCCTGCTTCATTTGGAATATTTTGTGGCTAATTTGCTTTGGAATTTTGAGTGGAAGGTTCCAGAAGGCATTGATGTGGATTTCTCAGAGAAACAGGAGTTCACTGTGGTGATGAAACATGCGTTGCAGGTTCATATTTCTCCAAGGCTACTCTAGACTCTTTCTACTCCTATCATCTTATTTATTAACATATAGGAAGTGTGGAATGTTGATGAATGCTTGGGTTATGTGTCCTCTTCAAATTTATATAAACCGTGGTTGGCAGCATATCACAACAGGGGAAGACTGTCAAGTTCTTCAATTTTATATAAATCTCATATATTTATAACTTACTTTACACCTGTATAAAATATTGGTTTGCATATAAATAATCACATTTTACCCAAATAAAATAAAATAAAATTCAGTCCTATATTTTCTATATTCAAGTAACAAGATTAAAATATTTTTCCCATTATAAACACACAAAAATTATATACTTTATCTCAATTCATGTTAAAATTTCATAAAAGAATTAGTAATTTTATTTTAAAAATATATAAAATTATTATAAAAGAAGATTATGTATTTATATTATTTAATTTTAACTATCACACTAACCTCTTTCATCTCCATTATTTAGGAAAAAAATATAATTTTTAAGTTTACTTCATCAAAAGATAATCCAATTAATTCAAAAAATCTAGTACAATCATTAATTGGAATATGTACATTACTAATATCACACATTTGTTTCTCTTTTTTAATATATTTTTCTTCTTTTTTTAAAAAAAGATGAAGATTGAAATAGACATAAACTAGATCATAAATTTTTTTTAGATTTATTTTATTTTTCTTCAAAGAATAAGTGAATGAATAAATACTTTAATTTTTGTTATAGTAAGATAAGAAATAAAGTTGTATAAGAAGTTTTACAGCAAGCTTTTGAAGTATAGGGATAGAAGATCCATATACTATCTACTAAGATTTTGAGTCCAATGTCTACATATCTTCAATTGAATTAAAAGAAGAAAAGTCACATGTACAATATTAGAAATTCAAAATTCAACAAATTTTTTTTTCCTTTCTTCAACATTAAAAAATATCTCTTTAGACATTTTTTTAAAATTTCATTATCTTGACGTGGAAGAATCTTATTTGAGGAGTTTTCCTAAGTCATTCTTCATTATATAATACTTATACATGATTTAAAAATGTTATACTATAACTTATATTGTCCAAAAGATAATAAATTAAATAAAATTCACATTGATTTTCAAAAAAGTGTCTAGCAATGAAGTGGAGTATAATTCTTACTAATTTAGTATATTATAAACCACATCTTAAAAATTGGAAAACTTTATTACTTTCTTTTCTTTACGCTTATATATGATTGTCTTCACTTTTTTCCTTCATGAAAACTCATATTTCTTATACGAAATGAAGAGTGGAAATATCAGTGTCACATTTTCTAAGTATCTTATATATAAGATCTGTGAAAAAAATGATATAGTCTAATTTATCCTATCATATATCATTTAAAATGAGTTCTTTCACATAACAAGTTTTTCCAATATCATCTTTTCTATAATTATTCCACTAATCACTAGTGACCATATTTTGCAAAGCATATTTTAACAACTTCAATTTTTTTAGCATGTAATGCAAAACGAGTTTAAATAATAAACTCAACTATTTCTACAATAGCTAATATCATAAAATGAGTAATTATGAAATCCAACTTCAATTTACATCTCAGCTGCCTAACAAATAAGAGAATAATCAGTTTTGATTTGAACATTGTTTGCCTAACTTCATTAATTACATTATTTATTTTTCCAGCTATAAAGTGTTTGTCCTTGTATTCTTTAGAACCATTAACAACTTTAAAACATATTGGTGTTCTTTCATTTATAGCCATGAAATTTATTAATGGCCTTCTTTAAATACCTGTCCATCTACCAACAACAAATGTAATTCCTTTTATAAGCCATAAAAATTTTATAAGTTGTAATAACCTTTTAATATGAGATCTCTTTTGTTGTGAAAGACTATTTCTTAAAGCATTATAATTAGGAGGAAGGAAACCACTAAGGTTATGGTTGGCAATAAATGAATAAGAGAGCTAATATAGTAAGGATTTTAGGCAAAATGAAATGACAAGCCAACTAAATAAAATATTATTGGTATTTATGCTCTAAGTTGATTCCTTTCATTGATATTGGAAGCTTTTTCTATTGTATCACTTCTTAGTTTTCTTTTTTGGATAAGGTTGTTGAAAGTGAAGGCAATTTGTTAGTAGTTAGTGAGATATTTTTAGGTTTTATTATATTCTCAACTTCTTTACAAATTCTTTTTGAATCAACTAAGTACTCAACAATGACCATAGAACAAATAGAAACACCAACACAAAGAATTCTAAGTAAAAGTGCTTTTACTCTTGAATATGAACTTTTGACCACTTTGTCACAAAAATTACAACTTCATAACTTGATGCCTCCTTTATTTGTTATCTTATCCTTTATGGTGACAAATGTCCAAAGTAGAACATGATTATCCTGAAGTTATGATGAAGCAAATTTACTTGAAAATTTAAAATTAGACTCAACACCAAAACCTATTTTTTTTCTCAACAAACATGAAAAAATTGCAATAATGAGTGAAAATTAACATTTTACTATGTTGTTGTAAAATTGATAAAAAAAACTTAAAACTTAGATTCTTACCAGTTACTATAGTTGCAATAAAATACTTAGAATAACAGTGTGCAAAGACAAGATTAGAAAAGAAGAACTTCATGAGATTTAGAACTACTATTGCGTACAAAGACGACACTAGTTACTAGAGTAGAAGAATATGAAGTCTAGAAAAGAGGAACGAGATTCAAAATTGTCGTTGTGTGCAAAGACCTATGATTCACTAACCATCGTCACTAACCTTCAACTCCACCAACCACCATCACAGACCTAGAAACAAACAAATTTTGCAAGATTTGAAAATACAACTGCATGTAAAAAATTTGAGCATGATTTTGGGAGAGATGAGAGTCGACACCCAAAAGAATCACAACTCCTATTTGTGTAAGAAAAGACTCTAATTGTTCAAAACGAATGATGTTGTTGGTTGAAGACTTGTATCAAGTCTTAAACAATTGTGAAAATATAGAAACTCATCGTTTCAATATTATATATGTTAAATATGTCGTATCCATTGAACCAAATTATATGTGATTGTGTTGAGTTGTATCCCAGCTATATATGGTCAATAATTTATTTTTTAAAATAAAATAAAAAATTAGATATTTATATATCTTAACATATTTGACACGTATTAATATTAGATATGTGTCCAACATAGATACTTTAACAAAATTGGTGTATTTAGGTATCATAAATTGGTGTATCTTGCAACTCATCAATTTGCTACTCCATTGCACTTAACCTTAGATTAATGGAAGCTATTATTCTTTCTTCTACTTCATGCATAACTTTTGTTGACATGTAACATCTACAATTTTGTCAACTCCTATCAAGTGCCAATGATTGACATTTTAATATCAATTGATACGTTTAAAAAATACTTAATGGAAAAAAAGATTAAGAGAGAAGAGATATATTTTGTTATCATTATGCTCGATACGTACCTTGATCTTAAATCTATACTAGTGATATCAAATAATTATCATCTAACCTATGCAATAGAATTCAATTATTAGTTTTAATTTTATATTCTCAATCACATTTTATTGCCTAACCTTTCTCTTCGTATAAAATTATGCCTTATTAGAAAGAATCTTAGATGAAATTTTAAGCTCCATTGTCTCTAACTTATCCTCCATTTGAGTTATGAATACACTTATTTTTTCTTTCTTATTTTTAATTAAATAATGTGAAACGAAAAAGAGAAAGGGAGTCCCGTGAAATAGGGAGCAAGCAAGCTGCTCCCCACCACCTGCAAGCATCCAATCAATTGCGAAATTACAAAAAAATAGAATGGAATGTCTGAGCAAGAAAAGAAGGGGTTGCATCTTAGGAAGAAAATAGCATATGGAAAAAGAAGAACGAGAAAGAAGGGGAAGCTCGAGGGTATAAAAGAGAGAGGAGGAGGAAGTATTTTGGGGTTACTAACGCTAGAGCGGCAAGAGAAGCGAAAGAAAATAGAAGATAGTCGAAGGAGAAAGAGCAGCATACGGTATCTTATAAGAGAGGACCCTCTTGGGAGACGTTTGTTTTATCGACTCTTCTAGACTTTTATATTATAAACAGTGTCCCTTACCTTCAGAATTACGAATCCTTCTTCAATAACTTTTACTGTTTGCGTCTCAGGTTCATCTTACTTGACTTTGTTGTCCTTTAATATCTCCTAGTGCATATCCTGCCCGTGAACATGTAGTATAATATGTTTTACTTTCCATTTGCCTTTGTCTTGTTTATAATCACACACACACACACACACATATATATATATATATATATATATATATATATCATGTGTTAATTCTTTTTTCTTTTTCCTTAATCTAACATTAATAATGAAAAGATTATTTGGTTAGTCATATTTAATATTTATTTAAAGATTTTAAGATGTTGATAATATTAAAAATATTTTATTTTATTCTTATTATTACTATTTTTATATTATTATTATTATTATTATGATTTATTTGTGTATTGATATTTTTATCTTTAATATTGCTTTATTTTGATATAAAGTTGATATGATTTGATTAGTAAATTACATTTTAGAAAATTATAAACAAATATATAAATAAAATAATTATATCAATGTATAATATTAACGTATAGTTTCTCTATCGTCGAATATCATAAATTGATAAAGTCTATGTGTACTTACGTTACCGAGCTTTATATAATATTGATTTATCATATATTGTCTTTAATTAATTAGATAATTATTTTCATAATAAATCACGATATATTTCCTTCTAATTATTAATTTAATAATCTATCAATTTAAATTAAAATTATTTTATTAAAGCAACAATTTATAATGTTATTGTGTAGCATCTTTACCTTTGTACGTTTTAAATTGTCGAGACCTTTGTATACCAATGTTATCTTAGTTTCACGCAATACAAAATTATTAGAAATATGTTTTAAGTTCCCTCAAATAAACGTCTATCTTTATTAATCAATTTAAATATATTAATTTGTACTCTTTAAATATTTTTAAAATTAATTTCATATTTAAAAATTTTAAATCATGTTCCAACTTGAAGAAAATATTTTTACTAAATTTTAACAAAATGTTCTGCGATATAGATGTGCAATTTACATTGCCTTCAATCAATAAATAAATCATGAGATATTTATGTATAGCATACGCTATCTTAAATTTCTTCAAATATTAATTTTTTAATTAAATTATATATTAAAAATACTTTTTCATAAATTAAAATATTAGATTTTAAATATCACAGTTTTTACAACAACTTACGATATGGATGTGTGATTTTCCCTTTGCCTTTCGTATTATTTCTCGTAGAGTACATGTATAACCACGTTATTTTGTATTCTAAACATTATAATTTTATAAAACTAATTCTAATTTTAAAAATAAATTTTATTTTTATAGAACTTAATTTTAATCAACCAATTTCGTAATTTTTATATAAAATTACGTGACTTTGAATTCTCCATTGTACCCGGAGATACGTAGGAGCGGAATCATATCTGTCGAGTCAAAACAATTTTTAAAAAATATTTTTTTTCTTTCTAAGATATAACTTAACATTTTAATGAATAAATCTTCTTTCTTTAAAAATAAAAAATAGGAACATTTATTTTCTAAGGGTTAAACAAATGCTTTTCAAAATTATAATAAATTTACACAATTAATTTAAGGTAACCTTTATTTAAACAAACGTTGTAGGGTGCTAACACCTTCCCTACACGTAAATGACTCCTGAATCCATTTTTGGTTTCAAAGATCAAAATTTTATGTTTTTTCTCAGGTTTTCTTTGATAAACCTTAGTGGCGACTCTACTGATTTTTTTCTTAAAAACATTTTTCGCCGTACCGTTGCGACCGCCCAGTTGCGACAGATGGCGACTCCACTGGGAACATTTTTTAGAGAGAGTCAAGCCTTTGATGATTAATTGTGCAAATTTATGTTATTTTGTCTATATTTGTTTAATCCTTTTCTCTTTTCTTATTTATTGGAATTAGTTGTATTATATTTCTTTTATTCGTACATGAATTTTGTAACCTCATTGTATATACTTTTGATATTGTTGTTAATCCTAGGGTAGATGACTATTAATAATTTGTATGGTATTCTTGTATTTTGCAGCTTTTTTTTTTCTCTATTGAGTTGATAAGGTTTGTATGCTCCCTCGCCCACTACTACTTACACATTCATCACACACTTTGAGCAGGGCCCTATACCCGGGTCTGAGTTTGCTTAGAATTAGAAGGTTTATGTAGCGGTATCGTTTTGGATGCACGTCCTATTTGACTATCGTGAAAACCCTAGCTAGAGTTTAATCTTTTCTTGATGTCCCACATCTAGTAGACTCCCTACTGTTGTGGTCAACGTTAAGGATTGGATCTTGACTCTAGTAGCCTTTTAGGATTACAAGCTACCTTTGATGAGTCTTTACACGTAAAAGAACGCCCTAGACCATTAAAAACCCTTAGGTGATCCAAAATAGGGCACAAAGGGAGTATATTTTTCTTATCTCCTCTTTTAGAAATCATGTGAACTATTAGCGCTTTAAAGTTTCAAAAATAAAAGAAAATGAGGAAATTTTGCTAAAGTTTGGATTAATGTTAAAGGCCAGTGATTCACACGATTCTCTATGTTAATTTTCTTTATATCATTATCATTTTGCATGTTATGGCATATCATAAATTCAAAGATTATGCTTGTTGTCATCCCTACAGCACTTGTTATAACTATAAAATAAGTTTTTGAAAAAGGGTTAATGATGACAATTGGCATGTTTCTTGCATCATTACATTGTCATGTGAAACATTATTCTTCTAAGCATCAATTTAGATTTATGAAAAAGTAAAAAAAAAATTTTTTTTAAAGAGATGTTAAAGAGGATAATGATTCATATTGTTCTTTCATTATCATGATCATCACATATTTGTTTCATCGATGTAAGTGCCTAGTGGATTTTTTTTAACCTGTTTAAGACCAATATTGATTCTTACATGGATAATTTATCTGTTTATAATCAATATTAATCCTTATCACCACTAGTATCCTATATCAATGAAATAAATATAAGATTTTGAATAATTTCTCATATATTTCCTTTCTTTATAGGTTAAAGATCACAAAGTTGTTTGAGTATCCAAGGAAAATGGAAATTAATGTGGGATCAAGTAGTAGTGGGGTAAAGTCAGTTGAATTGAGAAGAAAATTGCACCTAAAGGTTAAGAAAGTTGACACCACTAGCCTGAGAGAGTTAGGAAAAAAGCTGAAGACAGTTCAACAACTCACTTTAGTGAGGAGATTCGGAAACATTCTGAGATTGATGGAGGTGGATGTACAAGAAGATGCCATAACAGCCCTAGCCCAATATTATGATTCTCCATTAAGATGTTTCACCTTTCAAGACTTTCAGTTGGCTCCAACACTAGAGGAGTTTGAGCAGATTCTAGACTTGTCTTTGGAAGGTCAGCAGCCATACCGTCCCTTAGAACACTATGCATCCCTCCCAACCATAGCCAATGTCTTAAGGATCCACCCAGCAAAATTGCAACAAGCTTGTCAAGAGAGACATCAAAATAGAGGGTTCACGAGAGATTTTCTTGAGCGACATATACAAAACCTAGCAAGCAATGAAAATTGTGAGACTTTTATGGATGTTTTAGCACTCACTATTTATGGCATTGTCCTTTTTCCCAAGCATGATAACTTTGTGGATTTAACATCCATAGATGTGTTTCTTGCACGTAAAAATTGACTTGAAAACCCTGTCACTGCTATATTGGCTGATGTCTACTGTACACTGAGCTTTTGCCACGAGAAGAAAGGAAAAAGAATAATATGTTGTCTGCCTATGCTCTATATATGGCTCACAGCTCATATCTTTAAAAGACCAAGTGAGATCAAATGCCCTATCACTGATTTGTTGAGGTTTCAGATTGGGACGAAGAGTGGTCAAAAATGGGCCAACCACCTGGCTAGCTTGAATGAAGGACACATTAGGTGGCACACCCCATGGCAGCAGTCGACGACCATAGTTTATCATTGTGGGAATTACCCAAATGTTTCGCTTATGGGTACTCGAGGGTGCATCAATTATAATCCAGTTATGGGGCAACGTCAGCTTGCCTATCCTATGATGGGACCACTTGCCAAGGAATTGTTGACTCCTTTTGTTTTCTACTATGAAGATGAAAATTTCACTGAGTTAATCCAAAAAGTAAAGAGTGCATGGGCAAAGGTTATTCGAAAAGGAAAAGAGTTAGGTGTGAGGAGTTGTGCGGCAAAAGCAAGTTATCGTGAGTGGGTTAATGAAAGGGTCCAAGATATTAAGCTACCATTTAAGGCCCCAGGTACTTCCCAAGAAACTGAATCATCTAATCCAGAACCTATTGAGGATGAAGAAGTGAAAGAATTAAAGGTAAGACTAGCAAAGAAGATAGAGAAAAATGTGAAGATAGAAAAAGAACTTCTAGAAAGCCGCCAGACTTGTGCCATTTTGAAGAGAGAAAACAACGAAAAATAACAGGCTTATGAAGAAGTTTGTAAGAAGCATAAGTCAGTGCAAAGTCATGCGTCTAAGGTTCAACGATGTCTTGAAGCTGCAAGCAAAGAGCTGGGATTGAGGGTAAAAGAATGGAATGTAGCCTTGTATGAAAAGCGTCAATTGAAAGGTGCATTGTACAAAGCCAAAGGAGATAAACAAGAAGCACTGACCCAAGTAAATGAGCTTCAGGCGTGAGTGCAACACATGGAGCAACAGATACAAGAAATTGTCGTAGCGTGCGAGGCTGAAATTAATATGGAGAAATGGGATGTGATCAGGGTAATGCAAGAATATGAAGTCATTGTGAAACAGAAGAATGGTCAAATAAAAGAAGTAGACAAGTTCATTGAGTATTGGATCAAGCGTTTCATACAGCTAGCATCTTTGGCTAATGGAGCAATTGATGATATTCCACGCATGTTAGCAAATGTTGAGACAACTACTTTTTTCTATGAAACACCTCAAGATATTAAAGATTTCCTCAACCATTGCAATTGGTTAATCTTAGAGATGAAAGGAATTATAGCTAGGGCCAGGAAAGGGTGATGTAATGACTTAGGATGCAGGTAGATTATGTAAGGGTAGGAAGAGAATGGTGTATTTTGAATCAAACTATGATGTACTTCATGTTTGATTAAGAATTGTATTTTGGTGTGTTTCATTTAGTGAAGATCCTGCATTAATTTCCATTAAACACCCGAAGACACTCAACAACTGTGATGATTCTTTAAATTTTCATTCTTTTTTCTCCCCTTAATTATAGTTTCATTTTATTAATTTCTTTCTTGACTGCATGACCCAGAAAAAATTTAAAACAAACATAACAGAGAAACACTTACTAAAGCATCCTTATAGAACTTGCGTTCAATCAAAGATCATGGATGAGTTGGAAGAATATAATAAGGAGATGAGGAATGACGTTAATCAACTGAAGGAACAGATGGTGCAGATTTTGGAGGCACTGAAGTCTCTAGAAAGGAGAGCCACAGAAGGGACCCCTACTACCCAACAACCTACTCCTATCTGCCCACCTGGTTTTACTCCTGCACAAGGACCATCTCAAGGCTTTCCCGCTCAGGAAACAATGGTGCCTTTGACTCTACACATAGAAAGACCCTTGCAACAATCTAGTAATCATCAAGAGGGCCAGTTTCCTCCATATGGTCTTCCTCCTAATTATACTCTGCCAATAGCTGAGAACCCACTAAACACAAGCCAACCGTCAAATCAAACCAATCCTAACCAACCTTCAAGACCACAAATCCAACCAACCCAAACATCCATTCCACCGTATACTTATCCTCAAAATGCTAATCCTCATGAAAGCCATATACCACATGCAATACCCACAACAAACCCGCTAATTCATCAACAGCCACAAATCACCAACCTTAGTATTGGGGGAAATTGATCAACATCACCATTCTATCCTGACGAAAATCTCCAATCTCAAGAAAAGCTACACATATTGGAAGAGAGATTGAGAGCCATTGAAGGAAGCAATTATGGTATAGGGGAAGATGCAGATTTGTGCCTAGTCCCGAACGTCACTATCCCTCCAAAGTTCAAGATACCTGAATTTGATAAGTATAAGGGAACCACTTGTCCGAAAAGTCACCTAATAATGTATTGTAGAAAGATAGCATCGCATGCTCATGAAGACAAATTGTTGATTCAATTCTTCCAAGACAGTTTAGTTGGGGCAGCTTTGAGTTGGTATATGCATTTGGAGCGTGGCCATATTCGTTGTTGGAAGGACTTAGCCGATGTTTTCTTGAAACAATATAAATACAATATTGATATGGCTCCTGATAGGCTGCAGCTACAAAACATGATTAAGAAGGAAAATGAGTCGTTCAAAGAGTATGCGCAAAGGTGGCGAGAACTGGCAGCTCAAGTAGAGCCTCCCCTATTGGAGAAAGAAATGGTAGCTATGTTCATTGATACTCTCCAATCACCCTTCTATGATAGGATGATTGAAAGCGTATCATCAAACTTTTCAGACATTGTAATCATAAGGGAGAGGGTAGAAAGTGGCATGAGGACAGGAAAAATTCCCAACAGTTTCGTCGGAGTGGCCAACACAAAAAAAGCTCAGTTTAGAATAGGCAAAAAGAAAGAAGGAGAGACTAACGCTGTAACTTTTCACCTGAGAGAAGTTCTTTTCATTAGACCTTACCAAATACCACACCATTTCTAACCTGTATTCCCTGCCCCTCAAATGCCTTACCCGTATGTCACTGCCATTTCAAACCACCCCAACTCCCAATCCTACCAATCACGGCCTTATCAACCCTCCGCACCTACTTTTCCTATTGCACCACCCATGAGACCACCCCAACATTGGCACCAACATCCAAACACCAGCCAAATAAGACCCCAAAATAATCAAGAGAGAAAGCAGGTTCAGTTTGACCCAATCCCCATGTCTTATAAAGAGTTATTACCTTGCTTATTCCAAAGTTCACTAGTTTTACCATGTCCAATGAAACCTATAGAACCACCCTATCTGAGAGGGTATGATTCAAATGCCAAGTGCGAGTATCATGCTGGTGTCATTGGTCATTCGACAGAAAATTGTCAAGCACTGAAGTTCAAAGTGTAAGACTTAATCAATGACAAATGGCTGAATTTCAAGGAGAATACTCCTAACATTGGGAATAATCCTCTGCTTGGACACGGAGGATCATCAGTAAATGTCATCAAAGAAGAGTCTGCCCATATTTTAAAGAGAAAAGTTGAAGAGGTTACAACTCCTCTGAAAGTTATCTTCGCTGAATTGTGCAAGACTAACATGATTGAGGGTTTTGTTCATGAGGAAAGTATGTGTGATATGCATCCTGATGCAAGCCACTCGATTGAGAATTATCAAGAATTCAAGCATGCTCTACAAACCCTGATGGACAAACATTTGGTCCAAATTAGGTGTCCCAAAGAGAAAAATAAAGTTTTAACTGTTGATGGACAACCTCCAGCCTTCCCAAAACCCTTAGTCATTCATTATAGCAAAGTGTGAATATTCCAACCCCTAATGGACCCAGATCCATCACTATACAAGTACCAGCTCCGTTTCCTTACATAGATAACAAAGCAATGCCCTGGAGATATGATGCAAGATTTTTTGTTGATAATCAGAAAGGAGACCAAACAGAAGGTGTTAGCTCTAATACCCTTGCCATTTCAAATATAGCTGGTGTTGGAGGGATGACCCGAAGTTGTTGTATATATACACCTGAAGAGTTGAGAAAAGAGCAGACAAGAGAAATGGAGAGATCTTCAAAAGGGAAGGCCAAATTGGGAGACTCTGAAGATATGAATGAAAGGAAAATGCTTGAAATAAAAAAAAAAAAAGCGGTATCTGACGAAGAGGCTTATGAATTTTTGAAGTTTATTAAGCAAAGTGAATATCAAGTTGTGGAGCAGTTAAATTGCACTCCAACTAAGATATCTCTTCTATCCCTGCTGCTAAATTTTGAGCCACACAGGAAGATATTAATGAGGGTGCTAAATGAAGCACATGTCAATCATGACATAACTATTGACAAGTTTGGGGGCATTGTCAGTAATATTGCTTCAAATAACTATCTCACTTTCACTGACGATGAAGTACCTACTGAAGGAACAAGGCACAATAAAGCACTGCATATTTCTGTGAAGTGTCAAGATCATATCATTGCTAGAGTGCTTATTGATAATGGGTCCTCTCTAAATGTGATGCCAAAAATGACATTGTCAAAATTACCATGTGATGGGTCGCATATGAAACCCAGTGCCATGATAGTGAGAGCCTTTGATGGATCAAGGAGGGAGGTCATTGGAGAAATTGAAATTCCAATTAAAATTGGTCCTTACACTTTTCAAATCCTGTTTCAAGTAATGGATATTACACCAGCTTATAGCTGCCTGTTAAGGAGGCCTTGGATTCATTCTGCTGGAGTTATTCCATCTACATTGCACCAAAAGTTAAAGTTTATTATTGACAATAAGCTGGTAATTGTCTCTGGTGAAGACGATATGTTGGTGAGCAAGCCTTCGTCTACTCCTTATATTGAAGTTGCTGAGGATCAAGCTTTAGAGATTGCAAATGCTACTTATGTTGGGGAAGGAGCTCCAATCATGAAGCCTCAGTTATCCAATGCATCCATAATGATTGCTAAAGTCATGCTTGGTGGAGTTTGTCAATATGGATATGGTCAGGACAAATTATGTCAAAACTAGCAAAATGACCACAGCTCTATGAAAATAAGGATAGGTTTGGGCTAGGGTACACACCCACCAAAGCTGATAAGAAAAGAGTTATAGAGGAGAAGAAAGAAAGAAGAATAGCTAGGTTGGAGGGTAGAGAGCCAAACACTAAAGGGGTCCCTATCTATGATCTTCAAAAAAGTTTCTACAGTGCCGGGTTTGAATTTCAAGATTCAGTGGCTGTTGCTGATGAAGAGGAACCTGAAGAAGAAGTTGTCAACCTAGTCCGCGTTTGTCCGCCAAACTCTGAAATCGACAATTGGAAGATCATCGAACTTCCCGTGGTCTTTAATGCTTATTCAAAGTAATTATATGAAGCCAATCCTACTGCTCTGTCCAAAGCCTTAGGATAGTTTTTTTGAAAAATTGACAAGTGGCTTCTTTGTTTTGTAATTTATGTTCACAAATATGTTTTGTAAACTGGGACACATATTTCCTTTTAGTATGCTATGAATGAAATGCACTTTAAACTTTTAGTAATCTTGCTAGTCTTCCTTTCTTGTTTGAGTATTGTTGTTTATTTGCTTTCCTTTGTCTCAACTCCTAAATTTTGCAGATTTGAAAGTGACATGCTTGAAAGTAACAATGCTAGTATTTCATCAAATAATTTTGATTGCCCAATTAATCAAACTGATGAAGATGATGATAATGGTTTTGAATTATCCCTGGAAATGTTAAGATTAGTCGAGAAAGAAGCAAAAGACATCCAACCTCATGAAGAGCCAACTGAGATAATTAATCTGGGGACTGAAGAAGATAAGAAAAAGGTCAAGATTGGTATCCTCATGAAAGAGCAAGAACACTACAAGTTGATTAAACTTTTGCATGATTTTAATGATGTTTTTGCATGGTCATATCAAGATATGCTAGATCTTGACACTAGCATAGTTGAGCATCGACTGCCATTGAAATTAGAATGTCCCCCAGTTAAGCAAAAGTTGAGAAGAATGAAGCATGAGATGTCTTTGAAGATTAGAGAAGAAGTCAAAAAGCAATTTGACGCAGGTTTTCTTGCTGTCGTAAAATACCCTCAATGGGTTGCTAACATTGTGCCTGTACCAAAGAAAGATGGAAAGGTTCGAATGTGTGTTGATTACAGATATCTAAATAGAGCCAGTCTCAAAGATGATTTTCCATTACCTCACATTGATGTATTAGTAGATAACACAGTCCAACATTCATTATTCTCTTTCATGGACGGTTACTCAGGCTATAATCAGATTAAAATGGTTGAAGAAGATATGGAGAAGACCACGTTTATTACACCTTGGGGCACCTTTTGCTATAGAGTCATGTCATTCGGATTGAAAAATGCTGGGGCAACATATCAAAGAGCAATGGTCACTTTGTTTCATGATATGATGCACAGGGAGGTTGAAGTCTATGTGGATGGCATGATTGCCAAATCGACAAATGAAGAAGACCATGTGACTAATTTGCATAAGTTGTTTGAGCGATTACGAAAATTCAAGTTGAGATTGAACCCAACTAAATGCATTTTTGGTGTGAAATCAAGAAAATTGTTAGAATTCATAGTCAGTCAAAAAAGAATTGAGGTTAACCCTGATAAAGTAAAGGCAATCATTGAAATGTCGCCTCCCTGCATTGAAAAAGAGGTCCGTGGATTCTTAGGGAGATTGAATTACATTGCTTGATTCATATCCCAATTAACTGCTACTTGTGAACCAATCTTCAAACTGTTGCGAAAAAATCAATCAATGGAGTGGGATGTTAATTGTCAAGAAGCATTTAAGAAAATTTTGCAGTATTTATAGAATCCATCGATTTTGGTGCCACCAGTTCTAGGAAAACCGCTCATCATGTATTTGACAGTCTTGGAAGGATTTATGGGATGTGTTTTAGGTCAACATGACGAATCTGGCAGGAAAGAACATGCCATTTATTACTTAAGCAAAAAATTCACTAATTATGAAGCAAGACACTCATTGTTGGAGCGTACCTGTTGTGCCTTGGCTTGGGCAACTCATAGGTTAAGGCAATATATGTTAAGTCACACGACTTGATTGGTGTAAAAAATGGACCCAATTAAGTATATCTTTGAAAAACCATCCCTCACTGGAAGAATTGCTCGATGGCAAGTTCTTTTATCAGAGTATGATATTGTGTATATTACCCAGAAAGCGATCAAAGGCAGTGCCCTTGCTAATTTTCTAGCTCAGCAACCAATAAATGATTATCAGTCAATGCAATGTGAATTTCCTGATGAAAGTATAATGGCGTTGTTTGAAGAGAAGGGATCTTTGAAGAAAGAAGAATGGGTCATGATGTTTGATGGTGCTTCTAATACGCTTGGACTATGAAAGTATATTGATTTCTCCTGAGAAGCGATATATCCCAATCACAGCTAGATTATCATTTGATTGTACAAATAATATAGCTGAATATGAGGCCTGCACTATGGGAATTCAAGCAACTATAGAGTCAAAAGTCAAAGTTCTTGAAGTGTATGGTGACTCAGCCTTGGTCATCCATCAGTTGAAAGGGGAATGGGAGACTGGAGATGCAAAGTTGATTCCTTACCAAGCCTATATCAAAGAATTGATAGAGTATTTTGATGAGATTACCTTCCAACATATTCCTCGTGAAGACAATCAACTGGCTGATGCTTTAGCCACTTTGTCATCAATGTTTGTAATCAGTCAAAATGAGGATATGCCACTTATAAAGATGCGACAGCATGATCGACCGGCTTACTGTCAAATGATCGAAGGGGAATATGATGGTAAACCATGGTACCATGATATTAAGAGTTATCTGAAAAATCAAGAGTACTCATTGAATGCTACTGATAATGACAAAAGAACACTGAGGAGACTAGCAATGGGTTTCTTCTTAAATGAAGAAGTGCTTTATAAAAGGAATCACGACATGGTATTGCTCAGATGTGTGGATGCTTCAGAAGCACGAAAGATCATGAAAGAGATTCATGAAGGTTCTTTTGGGACTCATGCCAATGGACACGCCATGGCAAAGAAAATTCTAAGGGCTGGGTATTACTGGTTGGCGATGGAGGCCGATTGTTTTTGACATGCAAAGACGTGCCATAAATGTCAGACATATACTGATAATGTTAATGTTCCCCCGACAACTTTAAATGTTTTGTCATCACCATGGCCATTCTCAATGTGGGGGATAGATGTCATCAGACCCATTGAACCTAAAGCTTCTAATGGTCACCGCTTCATTCTTATTACTATTGACTATTTTACAAAATGGGTTGAAGCTGCCTCATATGCTAGTGTGACTCGAAATGTGGTGGTGAAGTTCATTAAAAGAGATTTGATACGTCGTTATGGCACTCCGAGCAAGTTGATAACAGACAAGGCACTAATTTGAACAATAAAATGATGAAAGAATTGTGTGATAATTTCAAGATTCGACATCATAATTCCTCCCCGTATCGCCCAAAGATGAATGGAGCGGTTGAAGTAGCAAATAAAAATATTAAGAAGATCATTCAGAAGATGGTGGTGACATACAGGGACTGGCATGAAATGTTACCTTTTGCCTTACATGGATATCGAACTTCAGTCCGTACATCAACTGGGGCAACTCCATACTCTTTGGTATATGGAATGGAAGCAGTACTCCCTATTGAGGTTGAAATTCCCTCTTTAAGAGTGTTAATGGAGACTAAATTGGATGAGGCAGAATGGGTTCAGTTTCATTTTGATCAATTAAATCTCATTGAAGGAAAGTGGTTGAATGTATTATGTCATGGTCAACTGTACCAAAAAAGGATGAAAAAAGCTTTTGACGAAAAAGTTCGTCCAAGAGAATTCGTTGAGGGAGATATGGTACTCAAAAAGATTTTACCGACACATAAAGATCATCGTAGCAAGTGGTCTCCAAACTATGAAGGACTGTATGTGGTGAAAAAGGCATTCTCAAGAGGAGCTTTAATCCTCACAAACATGGATGGAGAAGATCTTCCAAACCCCATCAATTCTGATGCTGTCAAGAAATACTATGCTTAAATAATAGTAATAAAGAAAAAAAATAAGAAAAGAGAAAAGAAAAGAAAATAGCTCGCTAGGTTGAAAACCTGAAAGGGCGACCTAGGCAAAAGTTAGAGCAACCTGCTGAGTTGAAAACTTGAAAGAGCGGCTCAGACAAAAATTAAGGTCAAATAAACTCTACACTTAACTGAAAACCCGTAGAGGCAGTTCAGAAGAAAAGGGAGCAAGACTTTAGTTGCAAGAGAGTGTTTGAAATTGGGACAATGTGATGAATTGAAACACTAAACTAAGGCAATTTTGAAAGATTGAAGTTGAATCGAGCCGGAGATGAAACCAAAACATCATACTGGAGCAATTCCATCGGAAGTTTTGTTAATGGGTAGTCAATTTACATGAGGGACTAGCATTATTCATCTGGAAGACGTCACTTAAGCAGTAGCATATGTCGTTATCACTGTAATTATTCTGATCATTTGTTTGATGTATTTGTTTTTCTTATTACTCATTTTGTAATCCTTCTTTGTAAATTAACCTTGTTTCGTTTTCTTCTTCTTTAGTTATAGTGATCCCGTTTTATTTCAAACAATTATTTCTTGGCTTTTGTCACCTTTTGTTCAATGTATACATCATCTTACTAATTTGTTTGCTCAAATTCTTCAACAGTGTTAAACAGTTATTCTATTGTCGTTTCAGCATTTATATATCGAAAGGAAACATGTTAATTGCAAAAAAAATAAAAATATATATATATATAAATACAATAATAGGCTTTAAAATCCACGGTGAGTCTCATGAGTCTCCTGGTAAGTTCAGCGTGACAAAAAAGTTGACACTTCACAACAACTCAAAAGTAAACAGCAATCCAACTTGGTTGATGTTCTACCCAGTACAGCTCCAATGAAAGAATGGATCTAGACCAAAATCTTACTCATTCCGGAACCTTGATACGCTTGTTCTAATAAGGATTGAGAAATTTGAAACACCCCTCCCCCAAAAAAAGGGGGGAAAGGAAAATTTGCTTTGATTTAATAAAGTTTCATATGATCTTACCATGTAATAATCACATTCCAAGTGTTAACATTCATTCAGTTTGCGCAATCACATCATTACATTAGCATGCATTTGTTTTTATCTATTGTCACCATTTGAAGATCAGCTTAAAATTCAGCATATACTTTACTTTTATTCTCAACCTGAACCCAAGATCTGAGTGGCTACTTTTTACCTCTTTGTCAAAATTCAGAAACTGATTGATCTCCTTATACTTTTACTGTCAAAGCCCAGAACCTGACTGGCATATTTTATATACTGTCAAAACCCGGAACCTGACTGACACATTTTATTTTTTTGTCAAAGTCCAGGACCTGACTGGCACATTTTACTTTACTGTCATAATTCATAACCTAACTCACACTTTTTACCTTTCTTTCAAAGTCCAGAACCTGATTGGTACATTTCACTTTTACTGTCAAAACCAGAACCTGACTAACATCACCCTTTCATTTTATTTTCAAAAGTCCAAAACCTGACTGACATCGTCATTTTACTTTTATTTCAAAAGTCCAAAACCTGATTGGCATCACCCTTTCATTTGTATTGTCAAAGGCACAAAAATTGACGGGCTCTTATTCACTCTTCTTTCAAAGTTCTGAATCTGATTAGCATTTTTACACTTTTGACAAAGTCTAGTACTTCATTTGTAACTTGTATTTTCAGTATAAGCCCTACATTTGTTTGACAACCTTTGTTTTTAGTCAGAGTTCAATGCGACATCACTAACCTTATTTATTTATTTATCTTGTGACATTTTGTTATTTCGTCTGTCTCACGACAAAGTGTTCACCACACTTGTCTTCGCATTTTTGTGCACACGGTCATTGTCAAAAAAATGATTCACATCTTTACTCAATCCTTATCATGATTGCTTGATAAGAATTGAGTAAAGAGGGGCAATGTGAATACACTTTTTTTCCTTTCTTATTTTTAATTAAATAATGCAAAACGAAAAAGAGAAAGGGAGTCCCGTGAAATAGGGAGCAAGCAAGCTGCTCCTCGCCGCCTGCAAGCATCCAATCAATTGCAAAATTACAAAAAAATAGAATGGAGTGTCTGAGCAAGAAAAGAAGGGGTTGCGTCTTAGGAAGAAAATAGCATAAGGAAAACGAAGAATGAGAAAGAAGGGGAAGCTCGGGGGTATAAAAGAGAGAGGAGGGGGAAGTATTTTGGGGTTACTAACGTTAGAGCGGCGAGAGAAGCGAAAGAAAACAGAAGATAGTCGAAGGAGAAAGAGCAGCATACAGTGCCTTGTGAGAGAGGACCCTCTTGGGAGACGTTTGTTTTATCGACTCTTCTAGACTTTTATATTATAAACAGTGTCCCTCACCTTCAGAATTACGAATCATTCTTCAATAACTTTTCTTGTTTGCGTCTCAAGTTCATCTTACTTTACTTTGTTGTCTTTTAATATCTCCTAGTGCATATCCTACCCGTGAACATGTAGTATAATATGTTTTGCTTTCCATTTGCCTTTGTATTGTTTATAATCACGTGTGTATATATATATATATATATATATATATATATATATATATATATATATATATATATGTCGTGAACATGTGATGCAGTGATGTTTTGATATATATATATATATCATGTGTTAGTTTTTTTTTTCTTTTTTCTTAATCTAACATTAATAATGAAAAGATTATTCGGTTAGTCATATTTAATATTTATTTAAAGATTTTAAGATGTTGATAATATTAAAAATATTTTATTTTATTCTTATTATTACTATTTTTATATTATTATTATTATGATTTATTTATGTATTGATATTGTTATCTTTAATATTGCTTTATTTTGATATAAAGTTGATATGATTTGATTAGTAAATTACATTTTAGAAAATTATAAACAAATATAACAAATATATAAATAAAATAATTATATCAATGTATAATATTAACGTATAGCTTCCCTATTGTCGAATATCATAAATTGATAAAGTTTATGTGTACTTACATTACCGGGCTTTATGTAATATTGATTCATCATATATTGTCTTTAATTAATTAGATAATTATTTTCATAATAAATCACGATATATTTTCTTCTAATTATTAATTTAATAATCTATCAATTTAAATCAAAATTATTTTATTAAAGCAACAATTTATAATGTCATTGTGTAGCATCTTTACCTTTGTACGTTTTAAATTGTCGAGACCTTTGTATACCAACGTTATCTTAGTCTCACGCAATACAAAATTATTAGAAATATATTTTAAGTTCCCTCAAATAAACGTCTATCTTTATTAATCAATTTAAATATATTAATTTGTTCTCTTTAAATATTTTTAAAATTGATTTCATATTTAAAAATTTTAAATCATGTTCCCAACTTGAAAAAAATATTTTTACTAAATTTTAACAAAATGTTCTACAATATAGATGTGCAATTTACATTGCCTTCAGTCAAGAAATAAATCATGAGATATTTATGTATAGCATATGCTATCTTAAATTTCTTCAAATATTAATTTTTTAATTAAATTATATATTAAAAATACTTTTTCATAAATTAAAATATTAGATTTTAAATATCACAGTTTTTACAACAACTTACGATATGGATGTGTGATTTTCCTTTGCCTTTCGTATTATTTCTCGTAGAGTACATGTATAACCATGTTATCTTGTATTCTAAACATTATAATTTTATAAAACTAATTTTAATTTTAAAAATAAATTTTCTTTTTACAGAACTTAATTTTAATCAACCAATTTCGTAATTTTTATATAGAAGTACGTGACTTTGAATTCTCTATTGCACTCGGAGATATGTAGGAGCGGAATCATATCCGTCAGTCAAAACAATTTTTAAAAAAATATTTTCTTTCTTTCTAAGATATAACTTAATATTTTAATGAATAAATCTTCTTTCGTTAAAAATAAAAAATAGGAACATTTATTTTCTAAGGGTTAAACAAATGCTTTTCAAAATTATAATAAATTTGCACAATTAATTTAAGATAACCGTTATTTAAACGGACGTTGTAGGGTGTTAACACCTTCCCTACACGTAAATAACTCTTGAATCCATTTTTGGTTTCAAAGATCAAAATTTTAAGTTTTTTCTCAGGTTTTCTTTAATAAACCTTGATGGCGACTCTACTGATTTTTTTCTTAAAAATATTTTTCGCCGTACCGTTGCGACCGCCCAGTTGCGACATGAGTTCTCATCAAACTTCACTGTCTTTAAGTTTTATTTCAACATGTCATCTTTATTTGTTAGGAGTTTGTCTTTGACTTTTCAATAATTGTATTATCAAAATATCATCCTTGCTTAGTTTCTTGGCCAAAAACCTTTATGCT